AAATCCCTAATTTGCACATCCCCAAATTTCCAATTCCCCAATTCCCTAATTCTCAAATTCTCAAATTTCCAAATTTCCAAATACCTAAATCCCCAAATTTCTAAATCTCATACTCCAAAATCCCCTAACCTCCCCAGAATCCCCTCAACAAACATCGACCTCCAAACTCTCCAAATCTACACCCCCTCCCAATCCCACTCCATAAGTCCATACCACATGCACGCATCACTTCCCCATCCCCGATCATCTCCCAAAGCATAATTTCCATCACAGGCATAATTTTCGAAACGACAGAGCATGTAACTTCCGCATTTCGCAGGAGGGGCCATAAATGACTGGGATTGTCACACATTACGGGGCGTATTACGGTGATTCGTTCGCTAGATAGGCTTAATAACGAGGCAACAAAGTACACGTGTGTAAAAGGGGCAGGGGTGTGTAGGGTATGTATCAAGGCGTCGACCGTGCAGAAAATCATCTTTAAACCGCCGATAATTTGTTCGTTCGTTTTCTTCGTCGTTCTTTTTTTTTCTATAGCCTCGAGGCCGAGGTTCAGGTTGAGGGAGAAAGAAAGGTGGCGTAAGTATATCGCAGCCACGTTAGGGTCACGAGCGGCTCTTTCTTCGCTCGTTCTGAACGAGGGCCTCGGCACGGTGTGATCTTATTATACCGCGAAGCGATGATGACCGTGTTTAGGTGTTGGCTTGCCAGATTTAAGAATATACCGGCCTATGGGCCCCCCTGCCCCCTTTCTGCATCGACGATTATGGTAACGAGGCCTCTTTAGTCACGTTGACGTACACCTTATTCGCGCGTTCGCGTTTCACGCTCGTATTTTTTACTCGCCGTACGTGTGCGTACACACGAACGAGTATGTAGCCGTACGAGTGGTTTATCGTTGACTCCTTATTGAAACTTTGTGGTTACCACGATGGCGGCGTATGGGGAACTGTCAAAAAGCGTTAGACGAACGATGCACGCGTCCGAACGAACCGATTTTACGTTTTTCTTCGTTGTTTCTTGTTTATCTGCATGGGATTGTTCGTGGTTTTTGGTGTGTACTGTTTTAGCACTTGATTATAGTGTATTATTAGGGAGAATCTTATCGGATATGTGGAAATGATACAATGACCTAGGAAGCTTTGGGACAAGTCTAGGGAATTTTTGAAAGTGGAGGATACAGTAATTTGGGACGATCTCCTGAAATCTCTAAATTCTTAAATCCTTAAATTTCTGAATTCCTAAATGTAATGAAGCCTTAAATACTTAAATACTGAAACCTCCAATTCCTCAACTTCTTGATTCTCTAACTCTCTAAGTCCCAAATCTTCAACTCCTTAACTTCCCAACTCTTTAAATCCCTAAATCTCCAACTTCCTAATCTCCTAACTCGTCAACTCCCTAAATCCCAAACGTTTAACTCCTCAACTCCCTAAATCCCCAAATCTCCAATTCCTCAACTCTCCAACTCTCTAAATCCTCAAATCTCCAACTCCTCAACTCCCTAAGTCCCCGAATCCTCAAATGTCCAATTTCTTAACTCCTTAACTCTCTAAATCCCCAACTCCCTAATTCCCTAACTCTCTAACTTCCCAACTCCCTAATTCCCTGAGTCTCTAAATCCCCAAATCTCCAACTCCATAACCTCTTAACTCCTCAATTCCCTAAACCCCAAATCTCCAACTCCTCAACTCCCTAAATCTCCAAATCTTCAACTCCTCAACTCCCTAAATCCTCAAATCCCCAAATGTCCAATTTCTTAATTCCTTAACCCTCTACATCCCCAACTCCCTAATTCCCTAACTCTCTAACTTCCCAACTCTCTAATTCCCTAACTCCCTAATTCCCTGACTCTCTAAATCCCTAAATCCCCAAAACTTCCAATACCCAAAAATCCCAAAATACCTCTTCCTACAAGTTACATTCCAACATCGTCAATAAATACCCAAAGCTCCAAATAATTGACAATCTGTATGAACAACTTCAGAAACATTTAATATTAGTTTGAAACGATTCGACGCTTAAGGCCATCACTGTTGTAAATTCGCATGGCTCCATCCTGCGGACTAAACTTTGCCAGCTGATTATTAGTGGTGACGAATGCTGACAACGACACCTTGTTAACAGAGGTAAAGATCTCCGGCGAGATAAGATCAAACCAAGAGCTCGTAGCCTTTGGGTGGAATTCGTGTTCCTTTCACGCTTTCAATCCTTTTCTGAATATGCATTTGACTCTTTAACGCTCTTAAAAAGAACATGAAGATTAAAGAGTCATCGACGGAAATAAGTGGATACAAAAACAGAAAATTAAATAAAAAAACTGTAGTAAGAACAAAATATTAGATTTGTCAAAAATGTTGAAACAAAATTAAAATTGATCTAGCGACCACCGACATGAAACATCAGTAAAATTGCATAAAATATCAACCATATTCAACCACCATATGTAACACATGATCACAACGTTTGCTAAAACACTTTCTGTTATTAGAACTGATAAAAGAGGGTTGTCTAATATATAAAATATAATAATTTCGTAATATATGAAAATGAAAAGGTATGTATGTATATCCAAATATGAAAATGAACATAAATAATATCCCCACACATATGTACATACACGCATACATATATGAAAATGAAATGAAACACTCTGTACGTATAAACATTATTATTATATCGCAGCAAATAAGATTCTAATCTTGTGACTTAATCACTAGAACAATAAAAGTTGAAAATCTTATGGATATCAATAAATCTCGTCGTCTTAGAAAACGCGAGTTTAGCGCACACGTCTGACGATTTCCCGTTTTCTGAAACCCGTTCATGCCCTCGCCTCGAAACACACAAATCATCGGAATCGTCACGCATTAAGAGCGTATTACAGTGATTGGAAAGTGATAACCGTAATAACCAGGGTCTGGGGATACACGGTGTGTTACGGGGCCGGAGGAGGCGTCGACCGATCAGAGAATCAGCTTTAAATCGCCGATAATTTCTTTCTCCGTCCTCGTCTGTGTCGAGAAGTCGAGGGACGTGCCGTGAGTATCGAGTGCCCGGCCGGCTAACGGCTGATCGGCTCGTAAAATTTTGTGACATCCAAATTATCCGAATGCAAATGGCGCGTACGTTGCCCGTAACGAACCGTAACCCCTATTCGTAACCGTTCTTTACACTCGCGATAACAACAAAACGAATAAAAGGTGCATCGCGTCGAGGGAACACCTTATAAAATTATTGTTGCGCAGCCATGATCTTGATCGTATCGATGTGTTGTAGCGGAGATGGGCAGATCGTGTGCCCGCCAAACAGCTCACGGGCAACGCGGGCCAAGCGCAACCATCAGGTATCGAGGATGCGACGGTGATTTTGCAGTTTCCGGGTTTTTGGATTCTAGAATTTTCGTTTGGGTGTTGATTGTTGGACTGATGAGGATTTGAAGGAGTGCGAATTTATGGATTTGACAATTTGATAATTTGTGTAGTTGGGGATTTGGAGAGATAGGGGGTTTTGGAGTTTGGGGAATTAGGAAAGGGATTTGAAAACTTAGGAATTAGAGGATGTGGGAATTTAAGGATTTAGGGAATTTTTGAACTAGGGAATTTTGGGACTAGGGAACTTTGGGACAAGGGAATGTTGGGATTAGGGAATTTTGAAACTAAGGAATTTTGGAGCTAGCGAATTTTAGATCTAGAGAATTTTAGAACTAAGGAATTTTAGATCTAGAGAATTTGGAACTAGGGAATTTTGGAGCTAGCGAATTTTGGAACTAGGGAATTTTAGATCTGGAGAATTTGGAGCTAGCGAATTTTGGAGCTAATGAATTTTGGAACCTGAGAATTTTAGAATTAGGTAATTTTGGAGCTAGCGAATTTTGGAACTAGGGAATTTTAGATCTGGAGAATTTGGAGCTAGCGAATTTTGGAGCTAATGAATTTTGGAACCTGAGAATTTTAGAATTAGGTAATTTTGGAGTTGGCGAATTTTGGAACTAAGGAATTTTTGATCTAGTGAATTTTGGAACTAGGGAATTTGGGATCTAAGAAATTTTGGAACTAGGAAATTTTTGAACCAAAAAATTTGGAGTTTTGAGAATTAGAGAATTTATGAATTTCACCAAAACCTTGATAACTTGGGAAGGAAAATTTAAAAAAATTCTGAAATTCAAGAAATTTGAAACTTGGTTATTTGTAAATTTTTGAATTAAAATTTAGACCTAGAAACAGGACATTAAATTTGTAACTAAACTCAATAATTTAACAACAAAACATAATAAAATTCAGTCATAAATTTGTAAATTTAATACCAAGCAATTAATTCGAAAGCAAGCGTAACAATTTCACCGAGCAAAAACTCTCTATTTTATATTCCTTTAAACCCGCGTATTAATCTTATAATATCATCGTTAATATCCACTTATATGCAGTAGACTCGGCGGTAAATCTCTTTAATTAAAGAAAAAAGAAGTAAGAAGAGACTCGTGACGGCATGTAACGTGACCTTTAATCGTAGCATCAAATCAACGAAACGATCATCGTACGCGACACAACGCCGCGTTATGTTTTCGCGACACGAGCCAGACCGATTGCCATAAACGCGAGCCAACCGTTGTAATTAATTCACACCTACGAACGTTACGAGGTAAATCTACCGAGAATCGGAAGGTGGCCAAGCTCCGTTTACACGTACCGTCAACGTCGAAATGTAATTCAACGACCGTCGAAGATGATAAACAAAACGAGAAGAAAATCTTAAGAAGCTTCGATCTGGTTCGCTTTGTTTATCGCTTGTCGTGCGACCGAGGGACAAATATGTCTCGACGATTAGGAAGGGGCAAGGATAATATAATAACGGGAAGAAAAAAAAAAGGCGTGTAGATATAAAAATAAATAGCCAGGGAACGGAGAAGCCGACGTGCCACACGCAGAGACCACGCGAGACGTGTTTATAGTAATGAGCCTTGTCGTTATTTGTCCAGCGAAAGGGATTTATCGAGATACCTCGTGAGATCTTGTTGCTCGATCTTCTTCTTCTTCTTCTTCTTCTTCTTTTCTTCCTCATCGATGTCTCCTTATTTTCGTCCCCTGCTTTCTTTCCTCCGTCACGGCCATTCGATTCTACGAGCTTTCGAGATTCAACTTGGTAATGGTGCTTTGTATTGGACTTTGTTATTGCAATTGGGAAATGTTGACGGTATTTTAAGTGCCTTTCATTTGGGAATTTTTAACGGGGTTATTTGGTAATGTGTGAGTGGTATATGAAAGAGGTATTTGATTCATTTGGGATCGTTTGAAAATTTTCGAACTTACAAGTTGAATTTTCAAGGTTTCTTGTCTTTGATATTTTGAACTTTTATGTGTTTAATAAAAAATTTGTAAAGTATTTAATTTAACAATCTTCAAATTTCTGAAGACCCCAAATCCATGTGTCTCGAAGCTCTATATCCCAAATCCCACTACCCCAAATTCCACATATCCCAAATTCCACATATCCCAAATTCCACGTATCCCAAATTCCACATATCCCAAATTCCACGTATCCCAAATTCCACATATCCTAAATTCCACATATCTCAAATCCCACGTATCCCAAATTCCACATATCCCAAATCCCACATATCTCAAATTCCACATATCCCAAATTCCACATATCCTAAATCCCACATATCCCAAATTCCACATATCCTAAATTCCACTATCCCAAATCCTTGTACGCCAAATCCCACTCCCCCAAAATCCATTATCCCAACTCTCACTGCCTCAAATTCTCAAATCCCCAAATCCCTCGACCCTAAAACTCCACTATTCCAAATCCCCATATCCCACTATCCAACTCCCCATCTCCCTATACCCTCACCCTCAAAAATCCACCTACTACATATCCATCCCATATATACATATATCCACACCTCCCAACCCCATACGTCCACCAGAACATCCCACAAACCACATGAAAATCCTCAAATACAACATTTCTACCCAAACCCTAACCTTGATCATTAATGATTATCGCTTCCTGTTCTCCTCAAGTATATACCGAAGGCCGAACAGCAAGTGCCGAGTGCACACGCATCAGCCCCGATCGATATGTCAATTAATTTTCATAAGGAGCCCAAGGTAGGGTTCATTTAAACGGGCAGACAAGCCGACGAGGGCGCGTACACGACGTTCGATGCACCTGGTCAGATCGGGGCTATCCCCTGCCACGAATTTTTTACTTTCGCTCGCGAGCATTCATTTTCTGACTGCTCGTTTTTTCGCCGTCCTCTCGGTTAATTATCCGTTTATGTCCGAGTTGCCGTCCAGCTCTCATTAGGAGGGCCGTAAAAAGAACGAAGGAGCCGAAGATTTACCTGTTCGCGTGGGGTATGGAATGCGCTCGTCCAACCATCGTATTCGCATCTCTCACGATCTTGGATTAGGTTTTATCGTTAAGAGCGAAAATATTGCGTTGTGGATTTGTGGGAGGAATTTTGGGCCTTGTAATTTTGTGGGTGGGGAATTATAAAATAGGAGGGTTGGAGATTCTCTCAGGTGGCTTGTGATGTCAAAGGGGTGGAGACTCAAAATTTAAATAATTTATGGTGCAAGATTTTTGGGGACTGCAAGGTGTTAATGTGTGGTGGCTTCAAGGGTGCTAAGTTCAAAAATTTTAAAGTTCCAAATTCTCTAGGTACCTAATTTCTTAAACTCTAATTTTCCAAAGTTCCAAATCTTCTCCAAATTTTTAGGGTCCAAAATTCTATTAATTCCAAATTTCCATGGACCCAAATTCCAAAGATCCCAAATTTCCATGGACTCAAATTCCCTAAACCCCAAATTTCCAAAGATACAAATTCCATAAGTCCACTTCCTTCGCCCCCAATTCCATAAGTCCCATATTCCATATATTCCAAATCACAAACTCCCAGAATTCTAAAAACACAAAATCTTCCATTTTCCAAAAATTCCAAAAATCCTCCCTTCCCAAAATTTCCCAAATAAAAAATAAAGTCCCAGATTTCCTATATCCTCAAATTCCCAACTCCAACTAATAAAAACAATACTCCGTATTAGCGGATGCAAAATGGTAGCAGCTGATTCGATTCGCGTCATCCTCGCGGCCTCGCTATCTCGAGCTCGCATCGTTCTCGATTTTAATTACGGTGTTCGCGCCTACTAAACAATTATCCCCGGCGCGAGGGGTTAGGTACGCGCGCCACGATCGGCTCCTTTTCTTTCTTTATCTTTTTTTATTTGTCCGTCCCTCAGGTGGCGAGAATCAACGAGTCGGCCGGATCGAGGGCCACGTCTCGTGTAATTTTCATCGAGTGGGTGGATACCCATTATTTCGCATTACAGACTCCTTACGGGGCCCCATCGTCCCGTAGAATCACCAGCCTATCGCGACTTCGCGTTACGTTCGCACGTTTTCCGCTTGTTAACGCTTGCCGACACGTTCCGAAACTTCAATCTTCGCTCGAGCGTTCTTTACGATACGTTCGATTACGTGAATATTCGATAAAAACATTTTTACCGTCGTTTTTTAACACCTTGATGACGCTTTCTTACTTTAAGAATACTACATTCTACTGTTTTAATATACTGCTCTACTTATTATACTACTATACTATTACACCACTATACTTGTTATACTACTATACTATTACACCACTATACTTGTTATACTACTATACCATTACACCACTATACTTATTATACTACTGTACTACTATACTACTGTACTACTATACTACTATACTACTATACTACTATACTACTATACTACTATACTACTATACTACTACACTACTGTACTACTATACTACTATACTGCCATACTACCATACGACTATACTATTATACTACTATACTACCATACTACTATACAACTATACTACTATACTACTATACTACTATACTACTATACTACTATACTACTATACTACCATACTACTATACTACTATATCACTATACCACTATACTACTGGACTGCTATACTACCATGCTACTATATTGCTAAACTACTATGATGCTATACTATACCATGCACTTTACTATTACTCCATTACTTTACTCCTCAACTACTTCACTATACTGCTATTATATTATATTTTTATACTACGATAATATTGTACTACTACTCCATTGTTCTACTATTTCACTAATTCCACAATCAACTACTCTAAAATAAATTAATTTATTAATTTCATAAAATAAATATTCTTATATCTGTACATTATATACGTATTAATATACCTATTCAATGTTTGTATTCATTTATCTATCTTCAATTTATATAGACAATTTTAATTGATCTCTATGAAAAACGCAACTTTTAAATTGTACAATTATTAAATCGTTAAATTGCAACGCAATTATAAAATTATACGCCCACATCAATCTCTACGAAAATATAAAAGTTCGTCTGGTAATTTGTCATAAAAGTTTCCTCGTTTCTTATCACAAGTAAACTTATTTATGACGCTATTATCGGACAACAGGAAACTCGAAACTCGTAAACGATTCTCGATTTTCGATTCCGTAGTTCCGTCGATGCGGCGCACGCATCCGGCGAAGAAATAACATCCGCCAGGCGAGCGAAACATGCTTTAGAACGCGAGCGGCGTGAAAGACTGTAGTTAGCGACTATTAATATCATCGATCGAGATCGATAGTTGCCTGCGAGGCGTCATAATGATACGGTGGATCGAACGGGGCCCCATCGATGCTCGGCCGATACGACGCACGTACACACACGGCCGATATACGGAGAACAAGTGGCGCCACTAACGATCCAGAGGATCGTGTTCGACGAATAAACTAACGATAACTTATTCCGAACGGCTACCTAATTATTATTCCGCTAATTGCTCGGGCTAATTCGAAATAATAATAGGGAGAGGGCGCGTGCAAATCGCGCCGATTTACGTAAACGATCGCTATAAAGCGAACTACTTTTGAACGAGATTCTTCGCGCGCGCCCAAATATACTTAATCACATGTGGTCCCAGGGAGGGACAGGAAATTTGAAATTTTTTAACTATAAAATTTGTCAATTTAAAATTTTTAATTTATATAAAACAATTTAGAAATTAAGATATTTGATAATTTGCAAATTTCTCATCTTCAAAGTTACGTGTATATAAATAAAGATGATTGTTTGTTTGATATTAATTTACGGACGTGTATGATTTTCAATCGTCCATATTTGGCGGTACTGCGCATGCGCAGAAGAGCGACTGATATTTTTATTTCGGTAATTAGAGTTTCCTCTTTGATGTAGCCTTATAGTTTCGACTATTTACAAGGATAAATGTTCTGTTCAACTAGTGTATACATACTAGTGTATATGTATGGTGTACATGTATAGTGTATAGTGTATACATATTCTTAAGTGCAAGCATAGTTCTTTCTTTTCGTAAGAGACAACTTTATGGCATCGATTATGGTCTATTATGGCACACGCTTTTAATCGATTCCTCGTTCAACGGGATGAAAAGGGAATTAAAACGAAATTGTGCAGAGAAAAAAGCAATTACGATAAAATTATTGCTGTTTTTCTTTTACGACGCGATAGTATCGTGATACATTTATTTTTGCCTCGGGATATTGCGGGCCATACGAGAGTATCAAAACATGAAATGCAATAAAAATATGATTAAAAATGTAATACGTATCCATTTTAGTTTAGGAAACAAAACCTGTTAATGTATCACGGTAAAAACGTTTGTTAATAAATATCTGTGTATAAATGTAATCGGAGATACGCAATGTTTCGCCGAACAATATATTTTTGCAGTAACACGATCGATGATTGAAATAAAAAGAGAGGATATTGTTAATCGTTGTGCTGTGATGAAAAATTTTCCGCCATGACAATTGAAATCTTAACTTTAAAAAAAGTTTGCAAAAAAAAGCTATACTTAACTATAAAAAAAGTTGACTTAACAGAAAAGTCTAAACGTGAATAATAATAATGATAATAATATCACTTACCTTCCTTCATTTTGAATGTTCTTCAGAAACTACATTTCTATCTTGACGAACTACAAATCTTGAATGTTGGAAAAAATACGACACTTCGACTCATAACACTAATGTAAATTACTTCACCACGAATAAAGAACAAACAACATAATTTACACCACACTTTTGCAATTTATTTTGTTCGAATTCTACATTCGCGCACTCTGCGTGCACGTGCCACCATTTGGTCACATGACCGATCTAATCGTTTCAAATATATCGATTGTCATTCGATTCATCTTTCAAAAATTTGATTATACAATTCACATTATTATTTACGAAAAATAATTGAAAAGTGGATACAGTATATTTGATATTGAGTTTTCATTAATAATTAAGCTAATAGTACACTTAATAATTAATGCAAAAGTGAAAATTAAATCTAGGGGATTTCAGTCCACTTCACATGAATGCAGCGTGTGTTACTTCCGCTTGCAGCCATGTTGTGCATTTTAGTTCGTAATCCGAACACGTAAGGTAGCAGAGCGCCTATGGTAAATTGAATCGCGCAGACTCCGGAAAAATAATAAACAAAAGGAGCGATGGATCTTTTCCACCGAAGCTGCTTGATAATGTGTTGTATTGTATCGCAGCTTGTTTGAGTGTTGTTACTCGTGAAACAACATCGCGGGGTGAGTTTACGTAACACAAGTCTACATATTGCCTTTGTAGTATATTGCGTCATACAAATAACCATTTCATTTACATTTATTTAAACATTTCGCGTAAAAACTTCACGAATTTTGAGGTTATATTGACAGTCTATGATGGTCGAGCAGCGAGAGGGCTCTAATGCATCGGAGATATCGTAAAAATTTTTCAATTGCTGTACATGCTTATCTCCGAATCTGTATTTGATGTATCTTGTTAAAAAATGTTGTATTTCTTACTTCATGAGCGTATAAATTCAATAAAAGTATGATAGTATGCAATTTGATACATTTAGTCCGCCACATTTGTTGCTACGAATTTTTAGCCGTCCCTTCTACTGTTCCTATTTACAGTCGCATCGTAACGCTTACGTGACACGATTGTTAATAATTTTATTCTTCGAATTTTTATGAAATTTAACAACACAATCTAATGTTCTTTTTGCTTGAAGGTAGGTTTCTTAATGCAAAGTTTAAATAAATATATTTAAAAATAATAATAATAGTGTTAAATGTTGTTTTTACGTAATGTGCATATCATTTATGTATAGAGTTTTGCATATGTATTCAACTCATGCATATAAAGTTTTGTTGTTAATGTCTGTAATCAAATTTCAATGCAAGGTTATTTTCAGTTACAAAATGACAGAAGGAGGAGTAACTAGAATGAAGCGCAATGGCGCTCGTCTGTTCAAAAATCCTCCTCAGCCTCACATGTGTATACAAGACTTTTTAGAGGTATGATCATACAACGTTCAACAGATATTTTATCAGATAAACATTTTATTATATCATCATTTATTTACTCATTCAACATTTTCTATAGTTGTGTCAAGTTATTAATAGTTTGACATCTCTAATGAGAATGTATTTTGATATTATAGGGTGTTGTAGCTCCATGTTACGTAAATGTATTATCATGGGAGAAAATTGCAATGCCGCTAAAGCCCTCTCAACCTGTACAATTTTATGGAGGAATGAGGGTCCGACCACCACGTACAAAAGAAGATGCCATAGTATTTGCCGTAATGGCTAATCCAGAGGTGCTTCGAATCAATGGCAAAAATGCACAAGATCCAAAGGTATGTGTCATCTGCCACTACAATATCTGTTAATGCTTATTTGAAATGGGTTTCTTTATAGCATTGTATTTGTTACAGAAACGTACCAGCTTAATAGAGCTCTTACTAGACTTTGTGGAAATGGTTAACTCGGGAGTGGTTTTCATGCGGCAATACACGATTCTGAAAGATCGAGACATTACCGGTGAATTGAAAGAAGTTTGGAATGCAGTACAAGCGAGGCGAGATTTAGAGCAACCTCCTCCTCAACAAGAGACTTGGATCGACGCGCAACCACCTGTTCTTCAGTATCATCAACAACAAGATTACGCGTCTCAGCCTCCACAGTATCATTCGAGTTTAGCGTATGGTAGGGCAATGAATAACGAAGGTATGCATTACGATAATTGCGGTCATCAATCTCAGAATCAAGTAATCACTCAAAATGATCAGATGTATCAATCTGGACAAATGGTGTCACAGCAATATCATGGAAACGTTCCTCGGATTACTCAGGACCGTTACAATTACAGAGAGTGTGGTAGGGATAATATTGTACAGAATATTCCGCAACAAAACTGTCCTGCGTATCCGGGTCCGCAGTATCAGTTTCAACAGTTACCTAGGCAAATGGTGCCTCAGTACGTGAACTCAAATGTGCATCCTAACAGCACTCTTAATTACGATCCAAGTACGAACGCGAACGTGAACCCAGCCATGAACACGAATTTGGCAGCACCTTTTCAACCGTACATAACTTATCAACAACGAATGGATAACACGATTCATATCGATATGTGTAGAATGCCACCGCAACAACAGCAAATACGTTTGAATCACGTGCAGCCGGTTCCACAGTACGAACCAACGGCATCGTTTAACCTTCAAACGATTTCTCCGCTTAACGTTCTCAAATTAGGTAGACCACATATGGGCGTCGCTCAGAAGAACAACGCTAGTAAAAGACAAATAAATTCACCTACTCATTCCAAACAATCTTCCTGTACAAACTGTCAAAAGGACTTATCCGATAATGGGACAAAACCGAAGAGTCCTGTCAAGGTTCTGCAACGAGAGTTCCCGTCGAACGATCGGCAGGACACGAATAATCATTCATCCATCAATAACAAAGTGTCTCCGGACAAAGAAACTGTTGAAAAGACAAAAAATGTACAAGTGACGGACTTGGACGAAGACGTTAAAAAGACTAATGATTCTGACAGCGAAACGCTTGAATCCACTAGGAAACCAAATGATACTCATACTTCTGATTCTACTTCGACGACCACCGATAGAGACACAACAAATTCCGTCGAAAACACGTCTCTTCCCGAAGAGAAGCAGCAAGAAACAAAAACTACGGATCTTCCAAACGGACAAAATTCATCCGATCAAAAGTATTCGAAGCCGAAAGGTAATTCGATGAAAGGGAACAAGTACAAAGAAAACGCGGAAAGCAACCGAACGAATCGCATTAAATTTATTTCTGATCAAAAGAACGATAGTCCGAAACGATCTCAGACCACTGTTAATAGCATTATAAAAAGCGTTTTCAAGATTCATCCTGGTATGTCCGGCGAAGAAACTTCAGGCAAGAGAAAAGCGAACGGACAGGCTAAGAATAATGCTAAAACGAACGGTGAGAGCGAAGAGATACATCAGGGATATACGATATTGAAGAAGACAGAGACAACTACTCAGGAAGAGATAGCGAACGAGCTAACTCAGCTATCCATTCAAGACTGCAAAGATGCTACTGAAATTAGTCCCGTGCTCTCGTGATAGCCTAGTTTGTAGCTAGTACTGAGTACTGGCTCATAGCTAAAGAGCAATGAATTCAATGTAAATAGGTAGAACATTAACCAATAAAAGAAGTCAAGAGTGAAACAGATGCTAAGAGGGGGACTCGAAAGCACAATACACGTATTAACACGAAAACGTACCAAAATATCAGGACACGCAGGAGCTGACCGCCAATTATTTTTCGACGAATCCATTCGTCTTCCTTCGCATAATTTTGACACAAACGGATCATAGTGAGAAGTTCTTTAAACACCGAATTATGTAAAGAAGCTGATTAGTATGAACACGATAAACTAACTGGACTTATCAGTGGAACGATTCTCATTAAACTCCAGACGAATTTAAACATTTACACGTGATCACTTGGTTTGACAACAGTTTTGCTTCCAGTAATACTTATCAATATTCGAGCAAAAACAGCTATTAGCTATTGATGTTCAAACCTGGGACACTATCAGTGTTCCGTTGTATGAAAACGAATTGCAGCTTTCAAGTCTGGATTGGGTACACATGCACAGTTGTCGATAACGAAAAATTAATTGATGTATCGTGGATTTGAGCAACATTCGATGCAAGATACTGAGTCGTTCCCATAGATTAGATCAAGACAAACAACTTCACGATGGAGCAACGGCTGGTCATCGCGTACTTATCTTCCAGCAAAACAATTAGAGGAATTTCGGAGTTATACCGGGTGGCACAAATTCATGTTACGATATATTATGGAATCATAGTACGTATTAGATTTTCAGCTTAGAATTAAGAATTTTATTCAGATCCCCGTCTACGCGTCAGTGCTTCCTTACAAGGACTATTTCGTCTCCTTTATTTTTCATACTTGTGCAAAATCCTAGCGCGTAGGAGGGGATTTTGAGTGTGTATTTTAAGATTACAAAAAAAGAAGAAGAATGTTTGTCCACTCGGTACATTCGTTGACTATATCGCATTCTAACCTATGCCATAGTTTATTAGTTGAGGATAACACAAAGGCTGCCAAACCTCCGATCATAATATAAAAAGTGATCTCTGGAGCAAACGTTACACAAAAACGATTTAGACAGCTTTTTCTCGCTGACTCGTGCACGCAGTTCTGCCGTTCAACTTTTAGCTTATCTAAAGAGGCATTCGATGGTCCCGAATAGGCTAATCCTCGAATGGCGGAGCCAAGACCTTTTAAACGTGTTTGCATTTTTATTTTCTAAATTTTACACTATTTCATGAGATATTTTTCTGATGGAAGTTTATCGTTTGAAAATTTTATTTGATATATCATTGTACAGGGAGGAGGTTTTTTACAGACAAAATGGTGACAAACAAGAATATTTGAAAATCAAGTACAAATGGATGCAATTTCTATTATCTAAAGGAAATTAACGTAGACACGATCCAGCTATCGCCATTCGAGGATCGAAGTGAAGAGCTGGTTAATTTTTAACGATGGTCAATTAATGAACTTGGCTTTGTTCACGACGTGCACGAATCCAGTTGATTGAATTACCTTCGAGGCCTCTGCGAATTCGACGTGTCGTTTTGCTCTCTAAACAAACGTAAAGCATCGCTGCCACGCGAAACGACATCGTCCCGTTAAATTTATTTAGCGTTATTAGACCAGCGTCGTGCCGTAACGTTCTTGCAACGTGAATTGCATGCTTTGATATTTTAACGAGAACAGTATACCGTGGTTCGTTTACAGACCGATAAACGATTCGAAATGAAAAGGATAATATTCAAGAAACGTCAGCGTGTTCTGTCCGTAAATAGAACTGAGCCAATTTAATCTCGACACCCGTTTCTGTCGTTCTCCCGAATTTCTGTTTTTTTTTTTTGCCCCTTTTAATTCATAGACACTGTAATGATTTTTTCTGTTTAGTGTATTCGAGGTGCTTCGTTAGTAAAGTTAAGATCTCAGCTCGTGAATAACTAGTTAGAATTGATAATTATGGCGCCGGTGGGAAAGGACCAATCCGCAAGACCAGGGTGCAATTTAACAAATTTCCAGATGTCTGGAAACCACGTACAATTCCTAAAACGAGCTGGTTCTCGAGTGGAAAAAAGAAATGTGCTCGATCCTTTTTTTTTTAATCTTCTCTTCTTCCCCTGCACTTTTAGTCTTCGGCTTACATGGAACAGAGAGTAAATAAAACGAAACGCAGTGATTTCGTGCCGTGAAAAATTCTCGCGTGATAGGAAATGAAAAACAGTAATATTGAAACGTTTTCACGTTGTGCGTGCGATACGCGGGTATATCACACACACGTACACACACTTGCGCATACACACCCATATATACATAGTATGTACGTATACACATACATAAAGGTTTTTTCCTTGTTTATAATGTATAACAGAATTAAAAGCGTTTCGCGTTTAATCGGAGAACGAATTATATATTTTATTATTTTTCAAAGAAAGAAAGGAAAACTTACATTTTATATGAATCAGCGTCTCGTGAACGCGTTGCTTTTTTTTTAAATGATCGTCGATTGCTGTTCAGCAATTACTTTAATTAATTTAGCAGTAAGTCTTAAACACAATCAACCGTCATTCCTTATTATATTTCGTTTTCGTTTTTTTTTTCTTGTTCTATTGATTTCAAACGTCATATTTTGTTGCATACAACGAAGTATATTGTATTCCTGCGAGGAGGAACGGATCTGTACGTGATTGAAATCGATTCACGTCGGGCTGCTTAGTCAATTCTTTTTAAATGCTCAAACGATGAAAAAACACGTCGAAGATGTTAGGTTTATCCATAGATCATATTTTATCGTATTTCTATTTTCTCCCTGTCCCCCATTTTATTTTTCTCTTTTATTTTGAATGCAGTTCTCAGCGGTTTGGCCCCTTCCTTTTTTTTGCCAAACATCCCCAAAGTCCCTCCTCTCATTATTGTTAATAATATGTATTCAGTATTCGTGTTATTTTAGATTCTTATTATTATTATTGTCAGGTATATTCTGGTTTACTATATCATTATTACCATGAACAATGTAATCTATTATTATTCTATAATACATGGTTTTTCCAAAGCTCGCCTGTTTTTCTTCATTTATACACTATTATTAATAATGTACTCTGGTAACATAAAAAATTAATTAAATTATTGTAGCAATTTGTTAAGATGATATAAGAAATAATAGTTTATTGCAAATGACATAATTTAAAAAGTTAAAAGTAATTTGAAATCTTCCCTTTGATGTGATTGTTGAAACTTGCGTTTATACCTTCAGAAAATGACAGCACTAACATCATCTAGCAGCAAACGATGATACTACTCAAAGATAAAATACCATTTATCTTTAAAATCCTTGATTTTTACGTTCTTCTGCAATTAGTAGAATATTCTGTAATCCCAATGCATCTAAATAATTCCATAATTCGATAAAAGCGTCAGAAACGAGAATATTAAAAACTGCGTTTCATGGATGAAATGATTAGCCACCTATGAGTTGCAAGCAGGAACTAATGGAATTACATTTGAAATACTTCACAAATTATTATTACCTTACAAGAAGTACAAGACAATAATATACTCTAAATAATAACATTAAACGATTTTAGAATGCTTAGAATGTTTCATAAATATTAACAAGGTAAAAAAATTAATAAATACAAAAGTGTGTTTTAAACCTAATTTTACACTTCACCACTAAATGGTACATATACCAGCATTTCTGAAATCTACAATTTATCTTGTCCGTGGTTCGTGATAGTAAATAATATCAAGAAACTGAAGTTTAGATAAAATTTTCTTTTATTAATTTAGTATTAATAATTTTGTTTAAATGTTTAAATGTATTTTGTAAAATTGAAACACTCGTAAGCAATGCTAATAATGTTAAATACATCGGGTACTGTTTCCCTCCTTTTTGTAAAATAATAGAAATAAAAAATGTATATTAAACAAAGTAAGTAATACTAAAATTAGATAATTGTTTTTCTTGTTACATTATTAGAATGTAATTATTAATATATTGATCTGTAACTATATAGATTTTTAAAGCTTGCAAGAATTCAAAATCAGATCCTAACCTATACAGTACACAAATACGCGCCAAAATTGTTGACTGAAGATTATTTTGTTGAATAATTTTTTAAATACAATAAAAATGTTCGAAGCACATAGTATTAATGCTGAACACAAAGATTTGATTCACGATATCGCGTATGATTTTTATGGACAACGAATGGCAACATGTTCCAGTGATCAGTTTGTGAAAGTAAGTATTTTAATGTTAATTTTCATATTTATATTGATAATTTATTAAAATTATGACACTTGTATAGGTTTGGGATGAAGATGAACATGGTAACTGGCATTTAACTGCATCATGGAAAGCACACAGTGGTTCTGTATGGAAAGTAACATGGGCACATCCAGAATTCGGTCAAGTTCTTGCCACATGTTCCTTTGATAGGACAGCTGCAGTATGGGAAGAAATAGGTTAGATTACAGCTAATCTATAGAGTTATATATCAGGGCTCTGTAAATTACAGAGGTCTTTAATTTACACATTATATAATTTATGCATACAATTAAATTCTATATTTCTTGTAGTCGGAGAGGGATCAGGCCCAGGGGAACGTGGAATGCGACATTGGGTTAGAAGAACAAATTTAGTAGATTCTAGGAAATCCGTAACCGATGTAAAATTTGCACCTAAAACTTTAGGCTTATTATTAGCCACTTGTAGCGAAGATGGGGTAATTAGAATTTATGAAGCTCCAGATGTTATGAATTTAAGTCAGTGGACTTTGCAGCATGATATTAGTTGTAAACTTCAATGTAGTTGTCTCACGTGGAATCCATCTTTATCAAGGTAAAGTAATCTATTACTAAAGTTATATTTCATTTGTGTATTATTATTAAACAGATTATGAATTGTCACAAATATTAGGTTACATCCTCCAATGATAGCAGTTGGAAGCGATGATCCAAACCCGTCAGCTGGTGGAAAAGTTTTTATATATGAATACTCTGAAAGTAGTAGAAGATGGGCAAAAACGGAAACATTAGCTATTGTTGATCCTGTTCATGATATTGCTTTTGCTCCAAATTTAGGTAGAAGTTTCCATACATTAGCAATTGCATCAAAAGATGTACGGATAATTACATTGAAACCTACAATGTAAGTACCAATCGCAAGCATAGTTAAGTAACAATAAAAAATAGTTACAAGAAATTATTATTGATGCAGGGATAGTGTACAAAGCGGTGCCCCTCGTTTTGAAATTTCGACTGCGGCGCAATTCTTTGATCATGACTTCACCGTATGGCGAGTGTGTTGGAACATTATGGGAACTATTTTAGCGAGTTCAGGAGATGATGGCTGTGTTCGGTTATGGAAAGATAATTATATTAACAATTGGAAATGTGTTGCTGTCTTGAAAGGTGATGGCACTTCCGCACAAAGCGCCGAAACGCCTACAGCGGCAACGCCACCCAATCATTCGTCAGGGACACAACAAACACCTTCTACCACAAGGTACTACAAATTGGGTTCCATCAGTCATCCAAACCAAGTGCCTTGGCATTAGAAAAATTCATTTATTTTTTGCTGTAATTAACAGTTTCATACTGTTTATTTCTTACAACTATGCACTATTTATGCAGAATTTGTTGAATATATATTTATATAATAAAAAAAATAATTATCATTATTTTGGAACAGTTATACAGTTTTTACTTTCAGTAATTCGGCTCCGGTTTATATTAATTATCATTTTGTAGCACAATGTCTTCTCTTTTTTGTAGCACAATCTATTTTAGAAATTTTTTGTTAGACAAAATACATACAAAATGTATGTTCTATTGAGAGCTTTTGTATGAAATCTTTTGTTAATCTGCAACTATTTAATATTATTGGTGAAATAAGAAATTTGTCATTTGTTTGTTTATATCTTAAAAAGTTGCTTAAACTGCGACAGCAGATTTTTATGTGGTAAGAAACATTTTAATGAAAACGTTATTAGTTGCAAATATATATTTTGTAATATATGAAGATTCATTACATATGTTTTAACTACATCAATTGATTAAATCCTACATATTTTTGTCAAGTGTTTGAATTATTGTAAATACTGAAATACTGTGTGTATAAAGTTGGATATGTTGTCACATAGTTTAGATGATTATACAAGGAATATTTCGTATTCAATTTGTAACATTTTTTAAATTAATAAATGCTCTGTACATTGAAGTATATCTTTTTATTTTCTTCCTACCTTAAAATGTTAAGTAACATGTGGTATAAGATGAATGAATTATTGACAAATTCCTTAACATTTATTTAGCATTAATATATAATTCTCTAAATAAATTATATTTCACTTTCAGAGCGGTAACTATAGCGACAGTCACTGCAGAGAAGCCTACGGTTACAGTTATGTGCAGCAATAAATGGCAAACACCCGTTATAAAAGGTCGTTTTAGCAAATCCGTATGGCTGGGAAATCCTACTGAACCAACTCCACCTCCACCTCCAATCGTTGAATACCCAAAAGCAAAGAAGTAGCTATGAGTAACATTACTAAGTTACTTGTACTTAAAAATAGCTTAATATTTATTTTGTATTAAATCTACAAAAGTTAATATTTTTTAAACATCTATTGCATTCACAGAAATTTAGCAATAATGAAGTATTATATCACCGTTAACATTGTGTTAATGTTATGTACATATATACACATGTAAACAGTTAATTGCTTCGACTGATTTTAAAGAATTTTAATTTTTTACATTGTTTTACATCATTACATGACATTATTTGTATTTAAGTCAAATAAAATTACGTACAACAGTGTTTATTCATATTATTTGATCTCTGTAAAATAAGTTTATACCTATCTGTATTTGTTTCATAGTGTTCAACAGAAGACAATTTGTAATGTAATGTACTAATAAATACCTGGTATACATTAAAAAATTGCTCGATAATTTCATTGTAATGTTTCGATCGATTATTTATTGAATAAACAACGTAGCTACGCACGTCAACAGACTTTGAACGGGGACCCCAAAAAATTACGTGAATCTGTTTAGTAAAATAAGTTTTTATGATTTGAAATATGCGTAGAGTGTGATATTTGTTTATTGTGATAAATAACATCAAAAGTTTACATCATGAAACGAGTAACTGAACCTGAGAGACAAAGTTTGCTGGACGTAGTGACGAAAAATCTTCGCGCTGCCGGCAAGATGAGTATAATGCAATATTATTTATTAATTCCATATATATATATATTTGAATATTCATTTATATTATCATATTTGTATATCATTTTTAGATTACATACATAACGCGCGTGACTTATATAGGAAAATACACTGGTAACAATTCTCAACTGGAAGAGGTATTAAACAAATAGAAGCAATTCATATTTGAAATAATAAAAAATATTTCTGTAAATAATGTAGAGCATGCAATCCGTAATAGAACATTTACAAACCGAATACGACAATATTCCAATCACTGGAGTGCTCCTCGTTTATCCGGACTATTATGTTCACGTGTTAGAAGTGAGTGAATATTATCAAAATTATAATTTAATTTTAATTGAAATTAATCTTGAATTTTAGGCATCGGAAGAAATTATTTACAAGCATTTCAAAATTTTGTACGAAAGTGACAATGTGGATCCCGAATTTGGGGGATCGGTTTTTCTTCCGTTTTATCCTCATGTTCATCAGGTGAGGTAGACTCTCGTTATATGGCCATCTTTGGGAGAGGATAATTATAGAAGTTGGAAATATTGAGTTGGTCAAGGGGTGTTTTTTACATGTTGTTATGCAATTTTAGCGTGTGAGAGTAAAACATGTGGTGATTTAATGCGTGGTGATATAATGCATACAGGGTGTCTCACAACTGTAGGTCCCTGAAATGGGGGATAGCTGACGTGATTCTGAATAAGATTTCCCCTTGCAAAAATGGGGTTTGAAGCTTCGTTTTTTCTTAATAATTCAAAAACTACAAAAACTACCCCCATTTGAGGGACCTGCACTACTTGTGAGACACCCTGTAGTTTCATCTGTATATGACGGAGTGTAACATTGGCAATATAACGAAAGTATACCAAACTTGTATTACATTTTCCACATTCAAATTTACAGCGATTTTTCACACAATGGTTCCACGTGTTCACAATACCACCTTCCTTATTCGACATACCGAAATCGTACGAAGTGGAAGATATTCAAAAGCAAATGAGCAATTGTCTCAAGAAGGTGTATCGATTCTGTGATTACATCACAAACATAGACCGCGATTATGTAAGTTACACGTCATATAAAACTAGTACAAATTAATCTTGATTTTTTAAACTAACTTTATAAGTGTTCCACATTATAAATAACATCTTTTCGTATTTTTAAAAAAGTCAATTCCTATGAAAGACGTGGTAAACAACTTGGGTGAGCAGCTTTTACGAGTTTTACCCGAGAGTACCTTGATAGAGTACCTGTTGAATGCGAAGAGCCACGTTCTTTTGACTGTTGAAAACTACCTTAATATACACTGCACAATCCCATTCATTAATTTGTACCAAGGTAATACCAGCTTCTTTAATTGCACCTTTTTACAAGGACTTGCCAGTTCATAATCCCTAGCTTACATCAATCCACCCTTAATTAACAGCTATCGATTTTTACTTTACAATTTATAAATATCGAATACCAATTTACAAGCTTCGGTTTTAAACTTCTTTTAATTCCTGCAGGAAAAAATGGGTCGACAAAAAGGCAGCGTTGAATAAAAACGATTATTTATTTCAGAGTATTTACAATATCAAAAAAACGTCTCTTTTTTACGGGGTACATGAAATTTGTGTCGGATATCGCTAAACTAATTACATATACAAACTTCGTTCGAATGATTTAATGATCTTATTCTTTCATTTTGTTCTTTCGCAAAAGCAGCTGGTCAGACGCGATCGTTTTTAGATGTACAGGCGGTATACAGATGAAAACGTTGTTTCCATGTATTCTTAACAATCTAAAAAAGGTTTCTTTCTTTGGCGCTTATCCCTGGCTACTGTAAGATACATTAGTAACGAAGCGAATGATGTGCGAACGAATGGTCGGTATTGTTGGATATTGTGGTCGTCGCGCGAAGTTCAAAAATCGATGTCAATCGATAAATTATAGAAATTTTTAGTAAAGTTTTCTTGTAACGTGATAATATAGAGATAGTCAACGATTAATATAGTCTCTTTGGAGGATTGGTACTTTGTTCATTTGTACGGGGTGGGATCTTTGATCGAGGAGGTTAAGATCAATTTTTATACTTTTTTGAGGGAGTTTGGGATTTTTTGGGTATTTGGGACTTTTAGGTAATTGAGAGTTTGGAAAATTGGGAAATTGGGACTTTGGGAAAGTGGGGCTTTGGAAAATTGGGACCTTAGAAAATTGGGACTTTGGGAAATTAAAATTTGGAGAAATTGGGTCTTTGGGGAATTGGGACTTTAGGAGGGTTGGAACCTTGAGAAATTGGGACTTTAGGAAAGTTGAAACCTTGGGAAATTGGAACCTTGGAAAATTGGGACTTTAGGAAATTTGGACCTTGGGAAATTTGGACGTCGGGAAATTGGGACCTTGGGAAATTGGGACCTTGGGAAATTGGGACCTTGGGAAATTGGGACCTTGGGAAATTGGGACCTTGGGAAATTGGGACCTTGGGAAATTGGGACCTTGGGAAATTGGGACCTTGGGAAATTGGGACCTTGGGAAATTGGGACCTTGGGAAATTGGGACCTTGGGAAATTGGGACCTTGGGAAATTGGGACCTTGGGAAATTGGGACCTTGGGAAATTGGGACCTTGGGAAATTGGGACCTTGGGAAATTGGGACCTTGGGAAATTGGGACCTTGGGAAATTGGGACCTTGGGAAATTGGGACCTTGGGAAATTGGGACCTTGGGAAATTGGGACCTTGGGAAATTGGGACCTTGGGAAATTGGGACCTTGGGAAATTGGGACCTTGGGAAATTGGGACCTTGGGAAATTGGGACTTTGGGAAATTGGGACCTTGAGAAATTGGGGTTTTGGGAAATTGGAACCTTGGGAAATTGGGACCTTGAGAAATTAGGACCTTGGAAAAGTGGAACCTTGAGAAATTAGGATCTTGGGAAATTGGAACCTTGGGTAATTGGAACCTTGGAAAATTGGAACCTTAGGAAATTGGGACCTTGGGAAATTGGAACCTTGAGAAATTGGGACCTTGGGAAATTGGAACCTTGGGAAATTGGGACCTTGGGAAATTGGAACCTTGGGAAATTGGGACCTTGGGAAATTGGAACCTTGGGAAATTGGGACCTTGGGAAATTGGAACCTTGGGAAATTGGGACCTTGGGAAATTGGAACCTTGGGAAATTGGGACCTTGGGAAATTGGAACCTTGGGAAATTGGGACCTTGGGAAATTGGAACCTTGAGAAATTGGGACCTTGGGAAATTGGAACTTTGGGAAAGTGGAAGTTTGAGACATTAAATACCACTAAACTACAACCCACAAAATTCTACAAATGAAACCTCTGTCCTAGTCATCAAATTTTTCTAAGTAACCCCAAATAAAAAAAACTGCAAATTCTCTAAAAATATTTCCCCTACTTCCCTTATGAATCCTCCTATAAAAACATCCTCTACTTCCCACCCCTGTACAGTAACCAAAGTACAACTCAGCTCGATAATTTCATTCTACAATTCCCTATGACTCTCATAAGCCTTCACATTCCATTACGTATTTCCGTTGCCGATTCTCCCGAATCTCTCCATCGATCCGAACAGTGTATAACCCAGCGATAATGATCACCCATCGAAAGCAATAGGAGAACTTTTATCTAAACTCTGTAAAGATCGAACGATGCAAGGCACGCACACAAAGACCACAAGATACTCCGGATACTGACCAAATGATTCTGCACAATGAGAATAGTTTGAGGCAAGACCGGGGAACGTTTATCTTGCAGATAGCATCTGGCCGCCACCCCACGATTTCATGTTTGGCGACGGTTGCCTGAAGGACGTCCGTCGAAGCGACGATTTGACGATATCCAAGCACTAGAAGCAAACGTACGAATGGTGGTTCGATTTCAGTGAAGTCTTGCAAATTTACTCGAGTTACCCTCGCACGAGCACGCGATCAAACCTAACCCAGACGTAATCCACACCTGACTTGATACCGTGCGGTTAACGAATTGTGGATGTTGAAAATAATGCTTGAATGCTGAGCTGGCGAGTAAATTGGCGAACGAAGTGTACAGTCACGTGCGGGGATCATTTTTTATTTTGTCGAAAATAAGGGAGGTTTGGGGAAATTTTAGGGAGAGGTTTTGGGTAATTATAGGGAGGTTCAGAGACATTTGGGGATGTTTGGGGATATTTGAGGATAGGCTTTGGGCAATTATAGGGAGGACTAAGGAAATTTCAGGGATATTTTAGGTTTCGAGTAGTTATGGGGAGGTCTGGGGAAATTTTAGAGACATCTTAAGTTTCAGGTAATTATGGGGAGGTCTAGGGAAATTTCAGGGATAACTTAAGCTTTGAGTAGCTATAGGGATGATTTGGGGAAATTTTAGAGGTATTTCAGGCTTCAGGTAATTATAGAGAGGTGTAGGGAAATTTTAGAGGTATTTCAGGCTTCAGGTAATTATAGGGAGGTCTAGGGAAATTTCAAGAATAACTTGAGCTTTGGATAGTTATAGGGATGATCTGGGGAAATTTTAGAGGTATTTTAGGCTTCAGGTAATTATAGAGAGGTGTAGGGAAATTTTAGAGATATTTTAGGCTTCAGGTAATTATAGGAAGGTCTAGGGAAATTTTAAAGGTATCTCAGCCTTTAAGTAATTATAGGGTGGTCTAGGAAAATTTTATAGATATATCAGGCTTCAGGTAATTATAGGGTGGTCTAGGGAAATTTTATAGATATATTAGGCTTCAGGTAATTATAGTGTGGTCTAGGGAAATTTCGGAGATATCTTAGGCTTTGGGTAATTATAGGGAAGTCTAGGGAAATCCTACCTATATTTTAGGAAGATCAAAATCAAATCTTATATACTAATAGAACCACAAAAAAATTATGACAAAAACAGATTTTCAAAGATATTCTAAAAGGGGAAATGTTCAAATAAATTCTGAAAATTTCCCTAGATAAAAAAGCATTATTTCACGCGACTGTACATTAGCAAAAGTTTGTTACAACATTCTTATTATGTTCTTACTAGAATTAACTTTCGACAACCTAATTTTCATTCGTTAATTAAAATTTTTTAATCGTTTGCCAGTATACTCGAACCTTTTCTGAAACGATACATGAAATGAATTTAGTGATTAAATGTCGAATTTTGTAAATCGATGACGCGGCAATTATGAACATTGTAATTCGTTAGTAGTAGTATAATAAATGATTAAATTATGAAAAGACCATATGGCAGTTTGCGTTCGAGACTTAATTCGCGTGGATCGATCGCGTAAACGAATCGAACCGCGTCCGTCGTCGTGTTCTCTCATGTTGGCGTGAATTACGTGAAATACGAGAAGAAATAGGCGTTTTTTCCGTAACGATTATCGAGATTCCCGTTAGTACACTGGCTACGCGCCGACATCAATTCCATCAATGGCAATAATAAATAACGAGATTCGCGATATTCTCGCGCGTTTTACCTCTTCGTCATATTTTCTTTTTTTTTTTGTTCTTTTTGGAGTTTTTCGTATCTTGTTTTAAACATTACAGTCAGACACCGTGTCTCCGAGGATAAAACTTAACGACTAATTAGCGTTTGAAAAAAGAACACATTCATCTAGAGGATCTCGAAAGAACGTCTAACTCTCGATATATATTTACACAAACTTCTCGTGAGGATCACTTATCGTTTCGTTAAAGACAATAGTAGAAGAACAATCGCAAATCCTTTCATTCCCTTTTTTCCCCCCGTTTTCGAGACGCGTTTGCTCGAGAGGGAATCGTTACTTTATACATTATACAGATACTTAATCATACAATGAAATTCAGAGTACTGCATACCGACAAAAGCAACCTCTTCACTTTTTCTTTTCCTATGCACGTTCGTTCTCTCCTGACGTTAATTTCGATTTTCGATGGTGGAAAAGCTGTACGATATGTCACTGTGTCCTCGTTTCCCGAATTGCCTTCATCCTGGACGAACATCGAACATATACACACACACGGAGAAAAATTTCTTGTTCCCATCGACTGTGAACAATCACGATCTTTTTTTGAATAGAACATCCTCAGTGCACGTTACTCTGGCTGCTTCGATTTACGCAATTATACATTATTTATACTTACATCGACTAGACGAATTGTACAATGCTTTTTCATTTTTTTTTATTCATAGTAAAAGGTGGGAATAAACATTTGCCTCTCATTCCTCTTTCTCACTCTTTCTCTCTGTCGCTCGTTTCTTTTAATTTCATTTAATACTAGCAATCTGTATAAAATATCCTCCGTATTCAAGATAATATGTACAGCACGCGAGAAACGCGTGCATATGTATAATAAAGTTTATTCTCTAGCGGTAATTCGTTCCCAAACTGCACACGCACGCTTTCCACAAAACTGTTATTTCCTTTTAACTTCGTTACTTTTGCGAACACATTCGCAAACGCGGTGGCTCGAGAATCGTCCGTTCAATGTAAAAAGGGCACTTGATCGAAATCAAAGAGACTTACAAACTCGCGATACCATCGCGTAAGGGGAAGGAAATGAATACGTTCGAAATAAACCGACCTTATTTTCCGATTGCGTGCTGCGATTAGTTGCGCGTTCATTTCGCGTTGTTTTCCTACACGCGACAATCGAATATCTTCAAACGACCCTCGAACAATGTACAGTGTTGAGTATCGTATGTTTCTTTAACGGGTACGGCGATATAGGGAGAGGGAATTATTCGCGTGAAAATATTTAGCATTATATTTTCACTTATACCATCAGAATTGCCACGGATTATATCATGTTAAACACGCGAGGAATTGCTACTTGTTATATCGCCAGGGATTGAATTGCAACGTTTTATATTGCTATATTATATCGCGTAGAATTGCCGCGTGTTATATCGCCGCGAGTCATATACTCTTACGTTCCTATTTATTACAGGTTATATCACTACGCACCATATATCGCCGGACGATATTTCATGTTTTAACTTTCCACGAGTTATATCGCCATATTCCGACTTCCCTCGCGTTATATTGCCATATTCCAACTTTTCTCATGTTATACCGCCACATTCTAACTTTTCTCACGTTATATCGCCACATTTCGACTTTCCTCGTGTTATATTGCCACGTTTCGACTTTGCTCGCGTTATATCGCCACGCGCCATATACCAGCGTGGGATATGTCACGTTTTCACTTTCCTCGCGTTATATCCCCACTTTTCGACTACGCTCGCGCTATATCGCCACGCGTTATATATCGCCGTGCGATATGTCACGTTTCCATTTTCCTCGCGTTATATCGCCACGCGTTATATATCGCCGTGCGATATGTCATGTTTCCACTTTCCTCGCGTTATATCGCCACGCGTTATATATCGCCGTGCGATATGGCCACGCGTTATATATCGCCGTGCGATATGTCACGTTTCCACTTTCCTCGCGTTATATCGCCACTTTTCGACTACGCTCGCGTTATATCGCCACGCGTTATATATCGCCGTGCGATATGTCACGTTTCCACTTTCCTCACGTTATATCACCAATTCCGAGTTGCCCCGCATTATATCGCCATGTTCCGATTTGTCTCGCGTTATATCGCCATCTTCCGACTTTCCTCGCGTTATATCGCCATCTTCCGACTTTCCTCGCGTTATATCGCCACGTTCCGATTTCGCTTGCGTTACATCGCCACTCGCCATATATCACCGTGCGATATATCGTCGCGTTCTGATACACCACGTATTATATCGCCACGCGCCATGTATTGTCACGCTTAGATTTACCACCCATTATAATCACTACATTCCATATGTCACGTTCCAATTTTCCACGCATTATATCGCCGAGTCGTTGCTCGCAATATCGACCGACATTTCTCGCGCAATTCTGTTATAATGCATAGCAATTCTCAAGTGCTGAACAGAGTTCCATTTCCTATATCGCCATTTTCCCCGAACAAAAGCCCACCTTTCCATATACTGTACATCATCAACCATTTAATTTATCCTCCATTCTAGAAAAACGAAGTACAAACGCGATAACGTCCATCGAAAAACACGCAAAGATTTTCGAAAAGATCTAATAACGATCGTTACATTTAACCAAACGTTACGAACAAGTTGGAAAAACATTCTTTATTATCTATCCATACATTCCAGCGATGTTTCGGTCGTCGATTGCGTATCCGACAAGAAATATCATAATCGATATACGCATACTTCATAGATCACTGGTCTGCGTAAGACAAAAATGTCACACAGAGCTCTCTCGCTTGGCCATCACGATCGGGGTGCTCATTTTGCCGTCCTTTTGCGATTGGATGCAACATTGACCGGGAATCCTTGCCTCCACGTCCTTGGTCAATAGAGTGCCACTCGGACAGGTCCTACTGACGACTCCCAAGCTGGTGTACAGCATCGGAGGGCTCATCGTCATCGACATTGATTGAACGCTTTGGCTTGGCCAGTGTTGCCTTGGCAGAGTGCAGACACCGCTCTGATAGTCGTCACCCACCATTGGCTGGAACTAAAGTTTATCGATGTCGGATGATTGATGTTCTTTGAGCTACGACCTCGTGGGATGCTATCCTCGGTGCATCCGAACGAATAATGCCTTTATTACTTTCGGTATTTTATTTCTTTTGCGATGGGAAACTTTTCATTCTATTTTCAGTATGTGTTCTTTTCAAAATATGAAGTTAAATATCTTTCAAAAATAAAAATTTGTTATTGAAAATATTCTTCTTCTTATGGAACGATAAAACCGTGTACTATGTTAAAAATCAGAAAAGTTACTTGTAAAATTACGAGAAAATGTTGAGCTAATTACAAAAGAATTTATATCTTTAAAGTTTCAAAAATGATTGCACTGCAATTAGCAAACTTTAAAGTGTATATTAAAAACTTGCATACATAATAACACCGCAAATGTTATTATATCTCTATCCAAGCTTTCAGAACCATTAGTTTCAATTTCCCACGAAATTATATCATAGGATTTCGCAGTCGTGCAATTCGAATCCCATCGCCAGAATGTGCGCCCGAAAATGGCGCAGACACTCGAGTTTGGCAATTTAGTCGGGGAAAGAGTTGAAATAAAGAGGGGTTGATTTTAGTTTGAAATGGCATAGTTGGAGGAATGAACTAGGAAGGATAATGATGAGAACGCGTTAGGGCAAATTGAACTTACGCTTTTGTGTTTCGTCGCCAGATTCGAGAACTCGTGCAACGGCATACCATTGCGAATGGTGCAATAGCCGACGTAACTTCCGTGACCGGAAGTAACCGTCGAGTGCTCCAGTAAACTTCTCGATGGCGATGTTTCGATCGTCGAAACTAGTCTCCTCTTTCTCAAATACTCCGACGGCTCGTCGCCTGCGCAATAATTATTCGTTACAAATTCACCTCCAATTTTATTTCTAACTACAATATAAATTTGGTTCGTTGCAAGTTTAAATGTAATTTAAAATTTTAGTCATCATTTCGTACATTAACAAATTTTCAAATTTGGGGATTTAGAAAAATATATTTGCATATCCATAAATTTAACAGCTTAAAAATTTGCAATTTTCAAATCTAATTAAATTAAAAAATTTGTAAGTCTGTCAGCAACGCAAAAATTTTAAATCTGTTAGTGCCGCCATGTCGTGAAAGCAGCGCGAGGTGAATGCAAATGGCGGACGTTTAGATCCGCGAAACGATAGGAGACTCCAGGTGAAATACGGGCGTAAAGAGTTAATATTCCTCGCGAATCTGATTCAATAAGTCGGGGATAAAAAAAGATGGTACGAACCAGTGATTTGCTGAGGTATAATATCAGGATTCTTCTCGTCGTTTTCGCTTATCTCACCGCTGCTCTCGAGTTTCCTGAAGGGGCTGCTAGGATGCTTCTCATCCGTGAGCAGACTGCTACCCTCGCGGAACCTCAGTTCACGTTGAATCGGAATGGTCTTCGTTTGTTTGCTGTGATCCTCCATCTGAGACTTGCTCTGTTCGTCCACTTGCGTGTGCTGAATCCTAAGTACCACCATCACTATCACACCGACGATGATCAACGCCGTCACCACGCCGATCATCACGCTCAGCATCGGCATTAATCTGTTGTTCTGCCTGGGTCGCTCTGGAATCGCATATTTGGGACGATTAGGGAAATTTTGCCTTTCATCCCTTAAATCGGGGCGTTTATCTCGAAATTCTTATGCAAACTTCCAATTATTTGTTATACTATAAATTAGTTGAAGAGCTCAGTCTCTCATTAATTGAACTTTCGTTGAATTCTTTTGTTCAAACAATTCAGTCAAATTTTAGAAACGTGATCTTTGAATGACTTAATTGCTGACAGACGTTACCTTGGGCAATTGGAACATTGAGACATTGGGACCTTGGGAAAATGGGACTTGGGAAATTGGGACTTTAGGAAAGTGGGACTTTGGGAAAATGGGACCTTGGGAAATTGGGATTTTTGGCAAATTGGGACCTTTGGGAAATTGGGACTTTTGGGAAATTGGGACCTTTGGGAAATTGGGACTTTGGAAAACTGGGACTTTAGGAAAGTGGGACTTTGGGAAATTGGGACCTTTGAGAAATTGGGACTTTGAGAAATTGGAACCCTGGGAAATTGAAGCCTTGGGAAATTGGATCCTTGAGAAATTGGAATCTTGGGAAATTGGAACCTTGGGAAATTGGAACCTTGAGAAATTGAAACCTTGAGAAATTGGGACCTTGGGAAATTGGAACCTTGAGAAATTGAAATCTTGGGAAATTGGGACTTTGGGAAATTGGAAC